CCTATGTTCCATTGTTTGTGGTCTCTAAATGGATAGGAATACTATAGGGATGCATCTTAATTTCCATCTAATACATGATACCGGCCCACAAGGATTGGAAATTGATATCACTTAAACCATTGCCTTGAACCAGAGAAATCTACACTCCATTATCGAAGTGGATCCTGTAGCTGTCACCAACATTCCATCTCGTTTGTGGGATTGTTTTGGGATCCAGGGGCCAGTTTATCAGAAATGTTAATCCAGATCAAAATGATCCTGTGTTGTATAGAATTATGTTTCCCTCTTCAGATTTGAAATTTTAAGGCAATGCCAAACCAAATCTCTTACAATAATCACACTAAATGTCACAATCAAGATCATGCTTATATTAATGATCACATGACATTTGGAAGGAATATTGTCTTTCAGTTAACATAAAGAGAGAACATCCCACTGGGCACAGACGTCAGTTCGACGTCTATTCCACGTTGGTTCAACGTAATTTCATTGAAATGACGTGAAGACAACGTTGATTCAACCATTGTGTGCCCAGTGGGAGGTGGCTCAATTAAATATTCTGAAAGACTGGCAATCCAGTCTGGCAATTTCAATTTTCCTTAAAGTGTCAGAGTGCTGTGTGTGGATGAGTGAAAGGAATCAAGCGCAGGAACCAGTATGACTTCAACAGTCTTTAGTAATGTCCAACACATGAACAATGAGTCGCCAACCCAACCGGGTGGCGCAAACAATTACGCACAAACACAGTGCGTATAAACAAGAAAAGCGCACGCAGTGCGAACTCTCGAAAAAACAACAACGAGAGATACAAACTCCTCTGAGGCAGGCTGACAAAAAACAATCACGCATAACACCTGACCCAAACAAACGAAACTAAATAGGGAACATAATCAAACACAAACAAGGGACAGGTGTTACAAAGAGACAAAACCAAACGAACATGAAACATAGAACGGTGGCAGCTAGTACTCCGGAGACGACGACCGCCGAAGCCTGCCCGAACAAGGAAGAGGAGCAGCGTCGGCCGAAACCGTGACAGTACCCCCCCCTTGACGCGCGGCTCCAGCCGTGCGCCGACCCGGGGCTCGGGGACGACCCGGACGACGCGGAGCAGGGCGCGCAGGATGACCCCGATGGAACTCGGTCAGCAGGGACTGGTCCAATATGTCCCTCCTTGGCACCCAGCACCGCTCCTCCGGGCCGTACCCCTCCCCACTCCACGAGATATTGAAGACCCCCCATCCGGCGTCTCGAATCAAGGATGGACCTCACGGTGTACGCCGGAGCCCCCTCGATGTCCAATGGGGGCGGAGGAGTCTCCTCTATCTCATACTCCTGGAGTGGACCAGCTACCACCGGCCTGAGGAGAGACACATGGAACGAGGGGTTAATATTCCTATAGTCAATAGGCAGTTCTAACCTGTAAACACACCTCGTTCAACCTCCTCAGGACTTTGAATGGCCCCACAAACCGCCGACCCAGCTTCCGGCAGGGCAGGCGGAGGGGCAGGTTTCTGGTCGAGAGCCAGACTCGATCTCCAGGTGCGTACACAGGCCCCTCACTGCGGTGGAGATCGGCGCTCGTTTTCTGCCGACGGATGGCCCGCTGCAGATGTACGTGGGCAGCGTTCCATGTTTCCTCCGAGCGCCGTACCCATTCATCCACCGCAGGGGCCTCGATCTGGCTCTCGTGCCAAGGTGCCAGAACCGGCTGGTACCCTAACACACACTGGAAAGGGGTTAGTTGGGTGGAGGAGTGGCGGAGAGAGTTCTGTGCCATTTCGGCCCACGGAACGTATCTCGCCCACTCCTCCGGCCGGCCCTGGCAATAAGACCTCAGAAACCTACCCACCTCCTGGTTAACACGTTCAACCTGCCCATTACTCTCCGGGTGGTAACCCGAGGTAAGGCTTACCGAAACCCCCAACCGTTCCATAAACGCTCTCCACACTCTGGAGGTGAACTGGGGGCCTCGGTCAGACACTATATCCTCGGGTACCCCGTAATGCCGGAAGACATGGGTAAACAGAGCCTCAGCGGTCTGTAGGGCAGTGGGTAGACCCGGCATGGGAAGGAGACGACAGGCCTTCGAGAACCGATCCACAACGACCAGGATGGTAGTATTCCCCTGTGAGGGGGGAAGGTCGGTAACAAAATCCACCGAGAGGTGGGACCAGGGTCGTTGTGGAATAGGCAGGGGTTGTAGCTTACCCTTGGGCAAATGTCTGGGCGCCTTACACTGGGCACACACCGAACAGGAGGAGACATAAATCCTCACATCCCTAGCTAACGTTGGCCACCAGTACTTCGTGCTAAGGCAGTGCACTGTCCGGCCGATACCCGGATGGCCAGAGGAGGGGGACGTATGAGCCCAACAAATGAGGCGATCGCGTACCTCGAGCGGAACGTACGTCCGACCCACTGGACACTGTGGAGGACTTGGGTCGGTGCGTAACGCCCGCTCGATCTCGGCATCAACCTCCCACACCACCGGTGCAACCAGACAAGACTCTGGTAGTATGGGCGTGGGCTCAAACGGACCTCTCCTCCGCGTCATACCGCCGAGACAGAGCATCTGCCTTCCCGTTCTGGGACCCAGGGATGTAAGTGATTTTAAACACAAACCGGGCTAGAAACATAGTCCAGCGGGCCTGGCGAGGATTCAGTCTCCTAGCTGCCCGGATGTATTCCAGGTTACGATGGTCAGTTAGAATGAGGAAAGGGTGTTGAGCCCCCTCGAGCCAATGCCGCCACACCTTTAGGGCCTGTACCACGGCTAACAGCTCCCTGTCTCCTACGTCATAATTCCGCTCCGCCGGACTGAGCTTTTTAGAATAAAACGCACAGGGACGGAGTTTAGGTGGTGTGCCAGAATGTTGGGAAAGAACGGCCCCTATACCGGCCTCTGACGCGTCCACCTCTACCTGGAACGGTAAAGAGGGATCCGGATGCGCCAACACCGGCGCCGAGGTAAACAGGTCCTTCAGTCTCCCAAAAGCCCTGTCCGCCTCAGCTGACCACCGCAAGCGCACCGGACCCCCCTTTAACAGAGACGTTATGGGAGCTGCCACCTGTCCAAAACCCCGGATAAACCTCCGGTAATAATTCGCAAAACCCAAGAACTGTTGCACCTCCTTCACAGTGGTTGGGGTCTGCCAATTACGCACAGCTGACACCCGGTCTACCTCCATCTTCACCCCTGACGCAGACAACTGGTAACCCAGAAAGGAGACCGACTTCTGAAAAAACAGACATTTCTCTGCCTTGACATATAGGTCATGCTCCAACAGCCTCCTCAATACTCGGCGCACCAGGGCTACATGCTCTGCTCGGGTAGGACTGTACACCAGAATGTCGTCGATGTACACGACTACTCCCTGTCCCTGCATGTCCCGGAAAATCTCATCGACGAAGGATTGGAAGACTGAGGGAGCATTCATTAACCCATATGGCATGACTAGATACTCGTAGTGTCCGGAAGTCGTGCTAAACGCTGTCTTCCATTCATCGCCCTCTCTAATGCGCACCAAGTTATATGCGCTCCTGAGATCCAATTTTGTAAAGAACTGCGCACCGTGCAGTGACTCCGTCATAGTCGCAATCAGAGGAAGTGGATAGCTGTACTTCACCGTAATCTGATTGAGACCGCGGTAATCAATACACGGTGGCAGCTAGTACTCCGGAGACGACGACCGCCGAAGCCTGCCCGAACAAGGAAGAGGAGCAGCCTCGGCCGAAACCGTGACAAAAAGTAAGTATGTCTGGAGTAGGCCAAAGGAAGGTCATGGTAGAATACTTTGACTCTAGGCAGCAAAACTATACAGAGAACACATCTTGATACCAGGTATAAACAGCAGAACTTATTCTGTCTTCAGTAATCATATTTTCCTTTATTTGCTTTTTGCTGCATCAAACCCTGTTGAATTACAAAGATGATTATTAATTGACAAATTGGACAACTCTTCATAGAACGACAATCTCTTGAATTGGAAATTTTAAGGGATTGACTCAAGTAGTGAACAGTCTATGTAACTAATTAAATCCATGTTCGTCAAAGGTCGCCTATATTTGTCCTGTTTCACTGCATGTACACGTGTGAAATGGAAGTGTGCTTTTTGCATAGCCCAACTCCCTGAGACAGCCAGGGATCAGCCATTATTGAAGGTTGGGTTAGATCGACAGATTTTCTTCCACCTGGTCAGCTCGGGGATTGCAAACTAGCAACCTTTCAGTTACTGGCCCAACGCTCTAACCACTAGGCTACCTGCCACCCAGTGTCCTATGTTTGTTAGCAGCAAGTGGAGCTACAGCGCAAAGCCCTTGTTAGAAAAGTATGTCTTGAATGACAAAAAATGCTTCAAAATCAACACTGTTATAAGTCACACATTGGTTGTATATTGTAGTAGACTTTCTCATGCTTTCTCTTGTCTCCATGTCACCACTGTATATATTTCTTTATTAACTTTAGCATATACTCCTCTCCCTCTTTTCACAGAATCTTTATACTTCCACTGGCTGTTGTCACTCTTTTCCTTCTTCTTTCCATCCCTCTCCTCTCAGACTTTGTGACTCCTGCATGCCTTCTCTCTTTCTTCTTCCACATCACATCCTTCTACCTCATCCTTCTTCATCTATTTTTCCTCCTCCTCCTCTCCTCCGCTTGCTCTCCTTCTCCCCCCTCTCCAACTCCAACTCTCTCCCCCCTTTGTTCCCCCCCCCCCCACCTTCCCTACCCCCCCCCCCCCCCTTTCCCCCCCCCTTACCCTCTTCCCCCCCCTTCCCCCCCCCCCCCTTCTCTCTCTCCTCTCCCCCTCTCTCTCCTCTTCTCGTTACCTCTCTCTCCTCTCTCTCCTCTCCGTTCTCTCTCCTCTCCTCTCCTCCTTCTCTCTCTCTCCCTTCATCCCTCCTCCCTCTCCCTCTCCTCCCTCTCCTCTCCTCTCTCTTCCCCTGTTTTCCTCTCCTTCCTCACTCACAGGCTACTTCTCAGAAGCTCTACTATCTCATCTCCTTGCCCTCGTCCTCGTCCTGCGCTCCTTGGGGGTGGCTCCGTCGGGGTGCAGGGCCTTCAGGGTCTTGGAGGCGGTGAGCGTCCACTGCTCCAGCTCGTTGAAGATGCGGTAGATCCAGAGCTTTAGCGCAAACGGGCTGCCGTTCACCGGACCATCTATCTACTCACGAGAGGGGGTAGAAGGAAAGAATGTAGAAGAAGAGAAAGGGAGGGAGAGAGAGAGGGGGGATAGAGAGAGAGTAGAGAGAGATAGAGAGAGAGAATAGAGCGAGAGCGCGATGCGTAGCTCGTGAGGCATAGCTCGGATAGCTCTCGCGCGATCGATTCGCTCTCGCTCTGCGCGTCCTCGCTCGCGCGCGCTCTCTCTCCCGCCTTCCTCTCTCTCTCGCTCGAATCTCAGAGAGAATTGTTTTCCATGTTTTTCCCAATCTGTTCCCCGAGATCCCGAGGGTTTAATATTTTTGTTCTAGCACTAGCACACCCGATTCAACTGGTGGCCTAATCAACCCCTGGTCAACCCCAGAATGTGTGCCCCAGGAATAGATTAGGAAACACTGTGCTAGGCCATATAGTGGTGTCTGAAATTATTGACACCCTTGATAAAGATGAGCAAACATGACTGTATAAAATAAATAATTCAAATACTGAGCTATATTGTATCCTCAAAAAAATTGGGAAATTACATTATTTTTATAATAATACAATTGCTCAGAGAAAGAGATTTTGTTTAATGAGTAATATTTTTTTCTAAAATGTTTTATGAGTTGGAGAACACATAGGGATCGTAGACCATTCCTCATTGATATCCTTCGTCTGCGCTTATAAACTGCCCTCTTCTATTGAAACCACAGGTTTTCAATGGTATAGCAAGATGGCGACAGCAGACATGGCAGCTCTGCTTCTAGCTCCTATAACTAGAACTTTGCAGTATTTCGTTTTTTGTGTGTGTTATTGCTTACATTATTAGCCCAGAACGTTTTTTTGTGTTATTACATACAGCCAGAAATAACTTTTGGATATCAGAGCAGCGGTAACTCACCGGCATTGTGACCAGGAATACGACTTTCCCGAATTGGATCCTTTGTTCGTACCCCCAGGGCAATTAAACTTATCCCAGAGGCTGCTCCAAGAGGTATTCGGAGTGGACTAATGTTCAGTCTCTGGACAATAAAGTAGACGAGCTCAGGGCGAGGATCTCCTTCCAGAGAGACATCAAGGACTGTAACATATCTGTTTCACAGAATCATGGCTCTCTCGGGATATACTGTCCCTATCCACACAGCCAGCTGGGTTCTCAGTACATTGCGCAGACAGGAATAAAGAACTCTCCGGGTAGAAGAACGGCGTGGTGTATGTTTCATGATTAACTACTCATGGTGTGATTGTAATAACATACAGAAACTCAAGTCCTTTTGTTCACCCAACCTAGAATACCTCACAATCAAATGCCGACCGTATTACCTCCCAAGAGAATTCTCTTCAGTTATAGTCACAGGCGTGTATATTCCCCCTCAAGCCGATACCACGGCGGCCCTCAAGGAACTACATTGAACTTTATGGAAACTGGAAACCACATATCCTGAGGCCGCATTTATTGTAGCTGGGGATTTTAACAAAGCAAATTTGAGGAAAACGCTATCGAAGTTCTATCAACACATTAACTGTAGTACTCACTCTAGTAAAACACTCGACCACTGCTACTCTCCCTTCTGGAATGCCTACAAGGCCCTCCCCCGCCCCTCCCTTCGGCAAATCAGATCACGACTCCATTTTGCTCCTGCCTTCCTATAGGCAGAAACTCAAACAGGAAGTACCCGTGCTAAGGTCTATTCAACGCTGGTCTGACCAATCGGAATCCATGCTTACTGGCGCCGACAAAGATGGAGGCCTTGCGACTAGCTCTTAGGAAACTCTGCGGTATTTTGTTTTTTTATGTACAGTGAGGAAAAAAAGTATTTGATCCCCTAATGATTTTGTACGTTTGCCCACTGACAAAGACATGATCAGTCTATACTTTTAATGGTAGGTTTATTTGAACAGTGAGAGACAGAATAACAACAAAATAATCCAGAAAAACGCATGTCAAAAATGTTATAAATTGATTTGCATTTTAAATGAGGGAAATAAGTATTTGACCCCCTCTCAATCAGAAAGATTTCTGGCTCCCAGGTGTATTTTATACAGGTAACGAGCTGAGATTAGGAGCACACTCTTAAAGGGAGTGCTCCTAATCTCAGCTTGTTACCTGTATAAAAGACACCTGTCCACAGAAGCAATCAATCAATCAGATTCCAAACTCTCCACCATGGCCAAGACCAAAGAGCTCTCCAAGGATGTCAGGGACAAGATTGTAGACCTACACAAGGCTGGAATGGGCTACAAGACCATCGCCAAGCAGCTTGGTGAGAAGGTGACAACAGTTGGTGCGATTATTCGCAAATGGAAGAAACACAAAATACCTGTCAATCTCCCTCAGCCTGGGGCTCCATGCAAGATCTCACCTCGTGTAGTTGCAATGATCATGAGAACGGTGAGGAATCAGCCCAGAACTACACGGGAGGATCTTGTCAATCATCTCAAGGCAGCTGGGACCATAGTCAGCAAGAAAACAATTGGTAACACACTACGCCGTGAAGGACTGAAATCCTGCAGTGCCCGCAAGGTCCCCCTGCTCAAGAAAGCACATATACATGCCCATCTGAAGTTTGCCAATGAACATCTGAATGATTCAGAGGAGACCTGGGTGAAAGTGTTGTGGTCAGATGAGACCAAAATCGAGCTCTTTGGCATCAACTCAACTCACCGTGTTTGGAGGAGGAGGAATGCTGCCTATGACCCCAAGAACACCATCCCCACCGTCAAACATGGAGGTGGAAACATTATGCTTTGGGGGTGTTTTTCTGCTAAGGGGACAGGACAACTTCACCGCATCAAAGGGACGATGGACAGGGCCATGTACCGTCAAATCTTGGGTGAGAACCTCCTTCCCTCAGCCAGGGCATTGAAAATGGGTCGTGGATGGGTATTCCAGCATGACAATGACCAAAAACACACGGCCAAGGCAACAAAGGAGTGGCTCAAGAAGAAGCACATTAAGGTCCTGGAGTGGCCTAGCCAGTCTCCAGACCTTAATCACATAGAAAATCTGTGGAGGGAGCTGAATGTTCGAGTTGCCAAACGTCAGCCTCGAAACCTTAATGACTTGGAGAAGATCTGCAAAGAGGAGTGGGACAAAATCCCTCCTTAGATATGTGCAAACCTGGTGGCCAACTACAAGAAACGTCTGACCTCTGTGATTGCCAACAAGGGTTTTGCCACCAAGTACTAAGTCATGTTTTGCAGAGGGGTCAAATAGTTATTTCCCTCATTAAAATGCAAATCAATTTATAACATTTTTGACATGCGTTTTTCTGGATTTTTTTGTTCTTATTCTGTCTCTCACTGTTCAAATAAACCTACCATTAAAATTATAGACGGATAATTTCTTTGTCAGTGGGCAAACGTACAAAATCAGCAGGGGATCAAATACTTTTTCCCCTCACTGTATTATTTTCTACATTATTAGCTCAGAAAGGGTTTTGTATCATTACATACAGCCAGGAAAAACTATTGGATATCAGAGCGGTGGTAACTCACCAGAACTACCAGCATTACGACCAGGAATACAATTTTCCTGAAGCAGATCCTTTGTTTGCTCTCCCCAGGGCGATTAAACTGATTCCAGCAGCCGACCCAAAACATCGCCGTCGGAGGAGATGCACTCGGAGTGGCCTGCTGGTTCGACTTAGGAGGCGCACACACCACCCACCGCTTCCAAGTATATTACTCGCTAATGTTCAGTCTTTGGATAACAAAGTCGACGAGCTCAGGGCAAGGATTTCTTTCCAGAGAGACATCAGGGCCTGTAAAATACTTTGTTTCACGGAAACATGGCTCTCTCTCGATATTCTGTCAAAATCGGTCAAGCCAGATGGGTTCTCGGTTCATCGCGCAGACAGAAATAAATATATATCCGGGAAGCAGAAGGGCGGAGGTGTGTGTTTCATGATTAAAAATTCATGGTGTAATTGTAGTTACATGCAGGAACACAAATTATTTTGTTCACCCGACCTAGAATACCTCACAATCAAATGCAGACCGTATTATCTCCCAAGATAATTTTCTACGGTTATAGTCACGGCCGTGTATATCCCCCCTTATCATTAAGCTCGGGGCCCTGGGTCTGAACCCCGCCCTGTGCAACTGGGTCCTGGACTTTGCTGACGGACCGCCTCCAGGTGGTGAAGGTAGGAAACAACACCTCCACTTTGCTATTTTACTGTATTTTAGTCAATGCCACTCAGACATTGCTCGTCTTAATATTTACAGTGGGGAAAAAAAGTATTTAGTCAGCCACCAATTGTGCAAGTTCTCCCACTTAAAAAGATGAGAGGCCTGTAATTTTCATCATAGGTACACGTCAACTATGACAGATAAAATGTGAAAAAAATATCCAGAAAATCACATTGTAGGATTTTAATGAATTTATTTGAAAATTATGGTGGATAATAAGTATTTGGTCAATAACAAAAGTTTCTCAATACTTTGTTATATACCCTTTGTTGGCAATGACACAGGTCAAACGTTTTCTGTAAGTCTTCACAAGGTTTTCACACACTGTTGCTGGTATTTTGGCCCATTCCTCCATGCTGATCTCCTCTAGAGCAGTGATGTTTTGGGGCTGTCGCTGGGCAACACGGACTTTCAACTCCCTCCAAAGATTTTCTATGGGGTTGAGATCTGGAGACTGGCTAGGCCACTCCAGGACCTTGAAATGCTTCTTACGAAGCCACTCCTTCGTTGCCCGGGCGGTGTGTTTGGGATCATTGTCATGCTGAAAGACCCAGCCACGTTTCATCTTCAATGCCCTTGCTGATGGAAGGAGGTTTTCATTCAAAATCTCACGATACATGGCCCCATTCATTCTTTCCTTTACACGGATCAGTCGTCCTGGTCCCTTTGCAGAAAAACAGCCCCAAAGCATGATGTTTCCACCCCCATGCTTCACAGTAGGTATGGTGTTCTTTGGATTCAACTCAGCATTCTTTGTCCTCCAAACACGACGAGTTGAGTTTTGACCAAAAAGTTATATTTTGGTTTCATCTGACCATATGACATTCTCCCAATCCTCTTCTGGATCATCCAAATGCACTCTAGCAAACTTCAGACGGGCCTGGACATGTACTGGCTTAAGCAGGGGGACACGTCTGGCACTGCAGGATTTGAGTCCTTGGCGGCGTAGTGTGTTACTGATGGTAGGCTTTGTTACTTAGGTCCCAGCTCTCTGCAGGTCATTCACTAGGTCCCCCCGTGTGGTTCTGGGATTTTTGCTCACCGTTCTTGTGATCATTTTGACCCCACGGGGTGAGATCTTGCGTGGAGCCCCAGATCGAGGGAGATTATCAGTGGTCTTGTATGTCTTCCATTTCCTAATAATTGCTCCCACAGTTGATTTCTTCAAACCAAGCTGCTTACCTATTGCAGATTCAGTCTTCCCAGCCTGGTGCAGGTCTACAATTTTGTTTCTGGTGTCCTTTGACAGCTCTTTGGTCTTGGCCATAGTGGAGTTTCGAGTGTGACTGTTTGAGGTTGTGGACAGGTGTCTTTTATACTGATAACAAGTTCAAACAGGTGCCATTAATACAGGTAACGAGTGGAGGACAGAGGAGCCTCTTAAAGAAGAAGTTACAGGTCTGTGAGAGCCAGAAATCTTGCTTGTTTGTAGGTGACCAAATACTTATTTTCCACCATAATTTGCAAATAAATTCATAAAAAATCCTACAATGTGATTTTCTGGATTTTTTTTTCTCAATTTGTCTGTCATAGTTGACGTGTACCTATGATGAAAATTACAGGCCTCTCTCATCTTTTTAAGTGGAGAACTTGCACAATTGGTTGCTGACTAATTACTTTTTTCCCCCACTGTATATATTTCTTAATTCCATTATTTTACTTTTAGATTTGTGTGTATTATTGTGAATTGTTAGATACTGCCGCACTGTTGGAGCTAGGAACACAAGCATTTCGCTACACCCGCAATAACATCTGCTAAAAATGTGTATGTGACCAATAAAATTGGATTTGATTTTATTTGAGTTTGAAGTCTGGAGACTGTGATGGCCATTGCAAAATGTAGATTTTATGGCCAATTTAACAATTTATTTGTGGATTTTGATGTGTACTTGGGGTTATTGTCTTGCTGGAAGATCCACTAGCGGCCAGGTTTCAGCCTCCTGGCAGAGGCAACCAAGTTTTTGGCTAAAATGCCTTGTTACTGGGTAAAAATCATGATGCCGTTGACCTTAACAAGGGCCCCAGGACCAGTGGAAGCAAAATAGTCCCATAACTTCAAAGATCCACCACCATATTTTACAGTAGGTATGGGATTATTTTCTGCTCATGCATTCTCATTTCGATGCCAACTCCACGACTGGTGTGCGTGGTCAAAGAGCTCTATTTTCATGTCATCCAACAAATGTCCTACAAATTGCCACTTGGATTGGAGCCGGTGCTTTGGTCAGATTACTTGAACATTTGCTCTTTGGCCACACACACCAGTGCTGCAAGTGGATCTTCCAGCAAGACAATAACCCCAAGCACACATCAAAATCACATTGACTCGGTACCGATACCCCATGTATATAGCCTCGTTATTGTTATTTTATTGTTACTCTTTTATTTTTTTTGCATTGTTGGTTGAGGGTTTGTAAGTAAGCATTTCACGGTAAGGTCTACTTACACATGTTGTATTCGGCGCATGTGACAAATAAAATGCGATGGCCATCTCGGTCTCCAGACTTGAAACCATTGAAAACCTGTGGTTTGAATTGAAGGGGCAATCCATAAGAGCAGACGAAGGATATCAAATATCTGGAAGGATTCTGTATGGAGGAATGATCTAAGATCCCTCCCTGTCACGGTTTCGGCCGAGGCTGCTCCTCCTCCTTGTTCGGGCAGGTTTCGGCGGTCGTCGTCCCCGGAGTACTAGCTGCCACCGATCTATGTTTCATGTTCGTTTGGTTTTGTCTGGATGTTGTACACCTGTGTCTAGTTAGTCCTCATTAGTGTCCTATTTAGTTCTTGTTGTGTGTGTATGGTGTTGTGTGTGATTGCTCCTCTGTTTGGTGTTCTGAGCTACGTATTCTTCCCTCCGTGTTTGGAGAGGTTTTCGCACATGTTAGTGCGCCTTTTGTTTGACGCCTGTGTGCGCCTTTATTTCGCCTCCGGGCTTATTGCTCTCGTGTACTACGTGAATAACTCACTAAAGTCTTTTGGACTTAGCTTCTGCGTCCTGCGCTTGATTCCTGCACCACACCCACCTTCAGCACCCCTGACAGAATCACACACATTTGTGAATGGAATCAGCAGGAGCAACCGTCACGCCTGAGTCGCTGGAGGAGCATGTCCGCGGCCAGGATGACCAGATACGACAACTGGGGACCGCTCTACAGGACGTCATCAACACCCTGCACCGATGGGAGTCCAGAGGGGTAACCACACCTCCACCTACCCTGCCACCCCCATCGGCCGGTCCACCAGTCCCAGGTCCGGAACCCAGTGGGATTCGGCTCTCGCTCCCGAGGGCGTATGACGGAACAGCTGCCGGGTGTCAGGGGTTCCTCCTGCAGGTGGAGTTCTACCTGGCCACTGTACACCCGGTGCCCTCGGGACACGAGAGCGTTTCCGCCCTCATCTCCTGTCTCACGGGCAAGGCGTTGGAATGGGCCAACGCCGAGTGGAGGAGGATGGACGCCACCACCATCTCCTACGCCGAGTTCTCCCGTCGCTTCAAGGCCGTGTTCGACCATCCACCTGAGGGCAAAGCGGCGGGGGAGCGTCTAGTCCACCTGAGACAGGGGAGGAGGAGCGCACAGGCATTCGCGCTGGAGTTCCGGACTCTAGCGGCAGACGCAGGGTGGAATGAACGGGCCCACATCGACCATTTTCGATGTAGCCTACGGGAGGACGTTCAACGTGAGTTGGCCTGCAGGGACACCAATTTCACCTTCGACCAGTTGGTCGATATGTCCATCCATCTGGACACCCTGCTGGCCACCCGTGGACGTCCCGAGTGGGGTCCGTCCATTCCACCCTCCGGCACCTCCGAGCCGAGCCCTATGGAGCTCGGGGGTGCTGGCGCTAGAGGAAGGAGGAGGAGGAGCCCGAGGGGGCCTGTCCCCTGCACCAAGTGCGGTCGTGGAGGGCACACTGCGGCCAGGTGCTGGGGAGGGTTCCCCGAGGGAGGAGACAACAGGCCACGCACTGGGGAGGCTTCCCAGGTGAGTAGACACCCCACTTACCCAGAGCTCTCTGTTGCGCACTTTTGTATACCTGTTTGTTTTCCACAGGTTGCACCTCATTCCCAGCATAAGGCGCTAGTAGATTCAGGCGCAGCTGGGAATTTTGTTGATCGGAAGTTTTGTTTAGATTTAGGGATCCCTCTCCTACCTGTTGACAAGCCTTTTCCCGTTCATGCTTTAGATAGCCGCCCGTTGGGGTCGGGGTTGATTAGGGAAGTCACAGCGCCACTTAGGATGTGTGCGCAGGGGGGTCATGAGGAGACTATACAGTTGTATCTGATCGACTCTCCTGCGTACCCGGTGGTGCTGGGAATTCCCTGGTTAAGCACCCATAACCCTGCTATTTCGTGGCAACAGAGGGCTCTTGATGGGTGGTCTGCTCAGTGTGAGGGGCGATGTCTGGGTGTTTCCGTAGGGGCGACTTCGGTGGAAAGTCCAAACCAAGTGCCCGCACTGCACATTCCGCCTGAATATGGGGATTTAGCTCTCGTGTTTAGTAAAGCTAGGGCGACGCAGTTGCCTCCTCATAGACAGGGGGATTGTGCGATTGATCTCCAGGCAGGAGCAGCGCTCCCACGGAGCCACGTGTATCCTTTGTCTCAAGAGGAGAGAAAAGCTATGGAAACTTACATAGACGAATCTTTGAGACAGGGATACATACGGCCCTCCACTTCTCCCGCCTTCTCGAGCTTCTTTTTTGTGAAGAAAAAAGATGGAGGGTTGCGCCCGTGCATCGATTACCGTGGTCTCAATCAGATTACTGTGAAATACAGTTATCCACTCCCTCTGATTGCGACCATGACGGAGTCATTGCATGGAGCGCGGTTTTTCACAAAACTGGATCTCAGGAGCGCGTATAACTTGGTGCGCATTAGGGAGGGCGACGAATGGAAAACAGCGTTTAGTACCACGTCAGGTCATTTCGAGTATCTCGTCATGCCATATGGGTTGATGAATGCTCCATCAGTCTTCCAATCCTTCGTAGATGACATTTTCCGGGATATGCAGGGGCAAGGGGTGGTCGTGTACATTGATGACATTCTAGTGTACTCGTCTACCCGAGCCGAGCATATAGCCCTGGTGCGTCGTATATTGAGGAGGCTGTTGGAGCACGACCTATATGTCAAGGCAGAGAAATGTCTGTTTTTCCAGGAGTCGGTCTCCTTTTTGGGTTATCGGTTGTCCGCGTCAGGGGTGAGAATGGAGGTGGATCGTGTGTCAGCTGTGCGTAATTGGCAAACCCCAACCACTGTCAAAGAGGTGCAGCAGTTCTTGGGCTTTGCGAATTACTACCGGAGGTTTATCCGGGGTTTTGGACAGGTGGCAGCTCCCATCACGTCCCTTCTGAAAGTGGGTCCGGTGCGCCTGCAGTGGTCAGCTGATGCGGACAGGGCCTTTAAGAGACTGAAGGACCTGTTTACGTCGGCTCCGGTGCTGGCGCATCCGGACTCCGCATTACCCTTTCAGGTAGAGGTGGACGCGTCTGAAGCAGGTATAGGGGCCGTGGTCTCTCAACGGTCCGGCACGCCACCTAAACTCCGCCCCTGTGCTTTTTACTCTAAAAAGCTCAGCCCGGCGGAGCGAAATTATGACGTCGGGGACAGGGAGCTGTTAGCTGTAGTTCAGGCCCTTAAGGTGTGGAGGCATTGGCTTGAGGGGGCTCAACACCCTTTCCTCATTTTGACTGACCATCGGAACCTGGAGTACATCCGGGCAGCGAGGAGACTGAACCCTCGCCAGGCTCGATGGAGTATGTTTCTCGCCAGGTTCGTATTTAAAATCACGTACATCCCTGGGTCCCAGAATGGTAAGGCAGATGCGCTGTCCCGGCGGTATGACACGGAGGAGAGGTCCGTTGAGCCTACTCCCATACTACCGGAGTCTTGTCTTGTGGCACCGGTGGTGTGGGAGGTCGATGCCGAAATCGAGCGAGCATTGTGTACCGACCCCAGCCCTCCACAGTGTCCTGAGGGTCGGAAGTACGTTCCGCTCGAGAGTCGGGATCGACTCATTTACTGGGTTCACACGTCACCCTCCTCTGGACATTCGGGTATTGGCCGGACAGTGCATTGTCTTAGCACTAAATACTGGTGGCCCACGTTAGCCAGGGATGTGAGGGTTTATGTCTCCTCCTGCTCGGTGTGCGCCCAGTGTAAGGCGCCCAGACACCTGCCCAGGGGTAAGTTACAACCCCTGCCCGTTCCACAACGACCATGGTCCCACCTCTCGGTGGATTTTGTGACAGACCTTCCCCTCTCTCAGGGGAATACTACCATCCTGGTCGTTGTGGACCGGTTCTCTAAGGCCTGTCGTCTTCTCCCTATGTGGGGCCTTTTAAAGTCCTGAGAAGATTGAACGAGGTGTGTTATAGGTTACATCTGCCTGTTGAATATAAGAATATTAACCCCTCGTTCCATGTGTCTCTTCTCAGGCCGGTGATAGCTGGTCCACTCCAGGAAGGTGAGATAGGAGAGACTCCTCCGCCCCCACTGGACATCGAGGGGGCTCCGGCGTACACCGTTCGGTCCATCTTGGACTCAAGACGCCGGATGGGGGGTCTCCAGTATCTCGTGGAGTGGGAGGGGTACGGCCCGGAGGAGCGGTGCTGGGTGCCGCGGAGGGACATCCTAGACCCATCTCTCCTGTCGGAGTTCCACCGGGACCATCCCGCGCGCCCTGCTCCGCGCCCTCCTGGTCGTCCCCGAGGCCGGGGTCGGCGGGGGTACTGTCACGGTTTCGGCCGAGGCTGCTCCTCCTCCTTGTTCGGGCAGGTTTCGGCGGTCGTCGTCCCCGGAGTACTAGCTGCCACCGATCTATGTTTCATGTTCGTTTGGTTTTGTCTGGATGTTGTACACCTGTGTCTAGTTAGTCCTCATTAGTGTCCTATTTAGTTCTCGTTGTGTGTGTATGGTGTTGTGTGTGATTGCTCCTCTGTTTGGTGTTCTGAGCTACGTATTCTTCCCTCCGTGTTTGGAGAGGTTTTCGCACATGTTAGTGCGCCTTTTGTTTGACGCCTGTGTGCGCCTTTATTTCGCCTCCGGGCTTATTGTTCTCGTGTACTACGTGAATAACTCACTAAAGTCTTTTGGACTTAGCTTCTGCGTCCTGCGCTTGATTCCTGCACCACACCCACCTTCAGCACCCCATGACACTCCCAATGTGTTCTCCAACTCATAAAACATTTTAGAAAAAGGTTAAGTGCTGTTATCATCATAAGGTGAGGTATAATCAGATATAAATAATGAATGACAAACTATGATTAATAAACTATGTAATATAATCCGTTTGTTTAAACTAGAAAGTATAGTCCTTACATAAACAGTTTATAAGCATATCATAAGTTGTTCACAAAAGCCTAATTTCTTCCTCTCCTCCTTGAACTCATCACTGATCTGAAATATTTGGGATATCTGAAAGCAAAATGTTTCCACCAGTCTTATCTGTCGTCTATACATGGCCCTGGTTTACACCAAAAAGGGAAATGAACATTTCCATTACCTCGCTCTCCAACCAAGTTGCATGAATTGAGGAGCAAACTGAAGTGAAGAGGAAATTCAGCAACTCTTGGAAGACAGTGTCAGTTGATAAAATGCTTTGTTATTGTTAAAACCAACATGTTTCGACCCGTAGCCTTCATCAGGGTTTACACGACATTATGTTCACCACACCAGCCATGTCAGATCAAGGATGACTTCCAAGTAGTGAGGAAGGAGGTAGGATTTTGTAGTTATTCAAGTATTGAAATTAGGCCTGCTGGGTCTACTGAGGGTTTCCCATAGGTACTGTATCTTAACCTTAAACATTAGTGGGGGAAATTCAAAACTGACCCCAGATCAGAGTCTGGGGCAACTTTACCATACACCAGTAATTCTGTACCTCAGTATTCTTTGGATCAGGAGTGAAGGTTGCAGTTCCAGCTCCGTCCGCCAGGAGGAGACGTATGCTCTCTAGCAGGTGACCCAGCCGATCCCTCACTGTTTTCTTCTGGCTCTCGTATTCGGCCCTGTCCCCACCATTTCCCACCCGCTCTTCCCGGCCAATGGCACGCTCCAGGAGGTTCCGGCACTGTTGCAGGGCGGAGTAGATGCGCCACAACCTGTCATTGGGCGAGAGCTGGGAGGAGAGCGGCGGCACGGTCACCAGGCGCTCCTCGCCGACTGTGAGCTCCTCGGCGAACGTCTCCTTTTTTCTCTGAAGTGGGGGGTGAGGAGGAGGGATGGAGAGAGTGTAGAGGTACACAAAGTACTAGTCACAGCCTTAATAAATTTGGGCAAGCGTTTCAAAGAGACCACATTTTTGTATTTTGCAATACCACCATGGACACCACGTTTAGCTGCTCCTGAGACTGAGGCTGTCTGAATATGGACACCGTAGTAATGGGAAGCTGTGGCCATGAGGAATGCATATATGAATAAGTCACTAATTCCAGGTTAGCATTTAAACCAAACTGCATGTGCAATGTATAAAAGTACAAAAGAGCTGATCTAACAGACAGTGTGGTAAAGAGCATGTTTTCCCATTTTCTGATGATAATCTACCAATTTTCCCTGATGAGCAACAACTGGCAACTGTTTGAACCCTATTGTGGTTAGGACAACATCCGCCCTGGCCCCATTGGAACAGAGAGGTTAGTGGTTCAAAGGGATGGCTGGTTCAACTACCATAACCAACCTTCCCCAACTTCACTCCAGGGGGAAAAACAGGCAGGATGTGTGACATCACAAGTGCCAAGTGTGTGTGTGTGTTTGTGTTTGTGTGTGTGTCCCCGTGCGTGTGTGTATGTGAGTGAGTGGGGTAGAAAGTTATTATATTCTATTGCATCTAGATCAGAGTATAGTGAGCTAGCTGTGACTCCATTGAGTACCTAACCCCTAGTCACGACAATATACCAAGGTGTTAAAATTCTGACCGGCGTGAAAATGATTCTGTGCCTGTGTGGTAGAATGATTCCCGTGGAACATCGACTAGGCAGCCCTGCTTACACAAGAGCAATGGTCAAGTAAATGTGTATATAGGTTTGTAATAGGCTACTAGACATGGAGAAGTGGAATGAGCAGTGGTGGAAAATGTACCCAATTGTTATACTTGAGTAAAAGTAAAGATACCTTAATAGAAAATTACTCAAGTAAAAGTGAAAGTCACCCAGTAAAATATTACTTGAGTAAAAGTCTAAAAGTATTTGGTTTAAAATATACTTAAGTATCAAAAGTAAATGTAATTACTAAAATATACTTAAGTACCAAACGTAAAAGTAAAAGTATAAATTATTTCAAATTCCTTATATAAAGCAAACCAGACGGCATAATTGTCTTTTTTTTAATTTTATTTTTACGGATAGCCAGGGGCATGCCCCAACACTCAGACATAATTTACAAACGAAACGTGTTTAGTGAGTGCCAGATCAGGGGCAGTGGGGATGACCAGGGATGTTCTCTTGATAAGTGTTTGACATAGGCAATTTTCCTGTCCTGCTAATCATTCAAAATGTAACGAGTACATTTGGGTGTCAGGAAAAATGTATGGAGTAAAAACTAATTAATTTACTTTAGGAATGTAGTGAAGTAAAAGTAAAAGTAGTCAAAAAATATGAATAGTAAAGCAAAGTACAGATACCCCAAAAAACTACTTAAGTAGTATTTTCAAGTATTTTTACTTAAGTACTTTACACCACTGGGAATGAGCTATGAACTTTGAGGGTTAGGCCTATGTTGTATAGAGGGAGAGGCAAAGGTAAGGCAAACCAGAGACAGCAAGCTCTTAACTGTCATGATCTGTTACAATACATTATTATGAGTAATGACTATGTGGTGATAGATAAGTTGAAAAGCATTAGCAAATTTGTGGGCTATATCTTGAGTAAATTTACATAAACCGCAAATGTATATACAGTGGGGAAAAAAAGTATTTAGTCAGCCACCAATTGTGCAAGTTCTCCCACTTAAAAAGATGAGAGAGGCCTGTAATTTTCATCATAGGTACACGTCAACTATGACAGACAAAATGAGAAAAAAATATCCAGAAAATCAAATTGTAGGATTTGTTATGAATTTATTTGCAGATTATGGTGGAAAATAAGTATTTGGTCAATAACAAAAGTTTCTCAATACTTTGTTATATACCCTTTGTTGGCAATGACACATGTGAAACGTTTTCTGTAAGTCTTCACAAGGTTTTCACACACCTTTGCTGGTATTTTGGCCCATTCCTCCATGCAGATCTCCTCTAGAGCAGTGATGTTTTGGGGCTGTCGCTGGGCAACACGGACTTTCAACTCCCTCCAAAGATTTTCTATGGGGTTGAGATCTGGAGACTGGCTAGGTCACTCCAGGACCTTGAACATCTTTTTACGAAGCCACTCCTTCGTTGCCCGGGCGGTGTGTTTGGGATCATTGTCATGCTGAAAGACCCAGCCACGTTTCATCTTCAATGCCCTTGCTGATGGAAGGAGGTTTTCACTCAAAATCTCATGATACATGGCCCCATTCATTCTTTCCTTTACACGGATCAGTCGTCCTGGTCCCTTTGCAGAAAAACAGCCCCAAAGCATGATGTTTCCACCCCCATGCTTCACAGTAGGTATGGTGTTCTTTGGATGCAACTCAGCATTCTTTGTCCTCCAAACACGACGAGTTGAGTTTTTACCAAAAAGTTCTATTTTGGTTTCATCTGACCATATGACATTCTCCCAATCCTCTTCTGGATCATCCAAATGCACTCTAGCAAACTTCAGACGGGCCTGGACATGTACTGGCTTAAGCAGGGGGACACGTCTTGCACTGCAGGATTTGAGTCCCTGGCGGCGTAGTGTGTTACTGATGGTAGGCTTTGTTACTTTGGTCCCAGCTCTCTGCAGGTCATTCACTAGGTCCCCCCGTGTGGTTCTGGGATTTTTGCTCACCGTTCTTGTGATCATTTTGACCCCACGGGGTGAGATCTTGCGTGGAGCCCCAGATCGAGGGAGATTATCAGTGGTCTTGTATGTCTTCCATTTCCTAATAATTGCTCCCAAAGTTGATTTCTTCAAACCAAGCTGCTTACCTATTGCAGATTCAGTCTTCCCAGCCTGGTGCAGGTCTACAATTTTGTTTCTGGTGTCCTTTGACAGCTCTTTGGTCTTGGCCATAGTGGAGTTTGGAGTGTGACTGTTTGAGGTTGTGGACATGTGTCTTTTATACTGATAACAAGTTCAAACAGGTGCCATTAATACAGGTAACGAGTGGAGGACAGAGGAGCCTCTTAAAGAAGAAGTTACAGATCTGTGAGAGCCAGAAATCTTGCTTGTTTGTAGGTGACCAAATACTTATTTTCCACCATACTTTGCAAATAAATTCATAAAAAATCCTACAATGTGATTTTCTGGAGAAAAAAAATCTCAATTTGTCTGTCATAGTTGACATGTACCTATGATGAAAATTACAGGCCTCTCTCATCTTTTTAAGTGGGAGAACTTGCACAATTGGTGGCTGACTAAATACTTTTTTTCCCCACTGTATGTTGAGTAATCTACATAAACCATGTGTCAGCAGAGTCCAAGGTTATTATAGTTTTGTGTTTTTATATTTGTTTTTATTTCTATTCGTTTTAAGATTTGTATTTTAAATTCAGTTTAGTTGAAGTTAGTTTTCAGATACACTATACTCGTTTTTCTTTAGTTTAAGTTTTATGAAAACATTTATATTTCGTTTTTTTGTTATTTAGTTTCAGTTTTAGTTTTAGTGTTTGGGACAGAAAGAAGCCTATGCGTGGGAGGCTTGGAGACATGTATGTGTTGTTTAGTTTTTGTGTTTTTTGGGGATGTAATTTCTTGCAACTGTGCGGAAGTAATGCATAAGGGGCAATTCCCCGGTAACGGAATTACGCTTTGACTCAGATTTTTCGCTTTAAAATGTATGCCAAACAAAAACCATTGATTTAAAAGTTTAACAAACCATACGATTTTATGCAAAAGGACTACTTTGAACAATTTACACAGAATTGTAATTTTAAAAAAATTTAAAATACATTTACTGTAAGACCTGAGCAGATGCAAAGTTTGGTAACAGAATTACAATAAAATCTCCCTCAGTTGTTTAACCACGTTTTCCCAAAAATCGGTTAAATATTAAGTTTCAAAGATGTCTGCAGAAAGAATGAGGTGTCCAAACTTGTGAAACATAGACGTCTATGATTGGTTCAGATTTGGTCCAGCCAGGGCGGACTGACCAAATTTCAACAACTTTTCAACGTCCATGGACGTCCGTTGTCGGTCGGTGCGGATGCTTGTTTCTGTAAATGGAAAGAGGGTAGGTGGTAGGTGTAATGGTAGGTGTCAGTGAGAGCCGGATGAGGTGACATTAACTGGAGAGAGAGAGAGAGAGGCAGAGAGAGAGAGCAGCAAATAGGAAGTGTGAGAGGGAGGGGTTGTCCAGATTTTTTCACAGTCTTGCTTTGACCACCAGACGACAGAAAAAGAAAAGAAAAAACAGTTATGAGCTGAACATAGCAGTATGCCAGTGGAAGGGAGGACAGTAGCAGGTGACCCAACTGTGGTTTGTGACTGCTATGATTTACCATTGTAGCCATTTCAATTGCAGTAATTCCGTTACTACAATTTGGTAACAGAATTACAAGTTTTAATTCATAAACAAACTTGATATCAATAAAAACACTATAACTAATTGGTAGGTCTATCTGTACATGTTACTTCTGTGAACTTTCATTATCCTCCCTCCTCATGAGGAGAGAAATTAGAAAATATCTTAAAGATATGTGGGTTTTGGTAACGGAATTACAAGGCACAAGGCAATGTTTCTTAAACTTACCAAAATAATGTATCCAAAACTAAACATACTGTAAGTGTTGATATTAGTTGGCAGGGGTCTTTACTTCAAGATTGTTGTGTTTTGGTGTAGTTCTAATACCTTTTTAAGATGTTAGACGCTGTCTAAGACCCCTTTTCCATCTGTTTGACCAGAAATCAAAGCTTTTTAAGATAGAAAATAGTTGGAAAATGTATATATGCCTTCATTTCCCAAAAATATAGACTCTTAGCTTTCATTTGACACCCAATTTGACATGCTCCTATGAACTTTACATGTTGGTGGTCATGTGTCCTTTTAGATGGAAATGCCCTAAGGTGATGGGTCAGGTCATAGGTTAGGTTAGGTTAGGTTTAAAGGTAGACTCAGCGATCTGACGTAGATGCACGAAGTAAACAGTAGTAGTGGGGAAATGTTCTCAACAACCAGGAGTGTTGAAGCACGAGGCTAAACTTCTCTGCTGTTTTGGTCCCGTAACTACCTTGTTGTAGCAGCGTAAAGCGCACCCGTGCCAATACGCAGATACGACAGGAGGCTACTGAGGGGAGAAGGGCTCATAATAATGACTGGAATGGAGCAAATGGAATGGTATCAAACACCTGGAAACCATGTGTTTGATGTATTTGATACCATTCCACTAATTCCGCTCCAGTCATTAACAGGAGCCCGTTCTCCCCAATTAAGGTGCCACCAATCTCCTGTGGCAGATACTATGTGTGACTGTGTGAGAGCAAAGTCTTCCATCATGCTCATCTCAATGGGCACGTTAGAGCAGATCATTTTTCTCAAGTCGGGTCACCGCCTTTCAAATAGTGTTGCATTCTGGGGATTAAAATGTTCTGACTTGCGCCTACCTGTCGACTACATGAACTTTACAAAAATCAAGTGATCAAAGGGCATGAAGTTTTCACTGCAGTCGACTGCACGTTACTGCAGTTGCTCTTCACCAACTCCATCCTGCAGCCATCGCCTGCATTGTGAAGGCTCTATTGTCAACCAATCATTAGGGTGTTTTTGTTTGACCCACATGACCAAAAACAAGAACCAATTTACTGTGATTTATGTGTACAGTAGATATATAAAAATGCATTGGATATTTGAGTCTCTCTCTCACTAATTGATTGTACAATGTGTACACACATCATTTTATATTATTATTTCAGTTTGTGTGATATGGGGGTTAGATACATGTTTATTTCAACATTATAAAGAAAACATTTTATAATCAATGGCAACACTGCATGTTGATCTGAGCCTTGCTGTTGGAAAACCACATTAGTGTCCAACTTTCATCTGTCGCAGATGCACCTCCCCTGACTTACTCCTCGACTTTCGTCTACTGTCGGGTGCTTTAGCCTTACCACTCAAACGCGCCCAATATGTTGCTGTTTGTGGCAATGTCATCTTGTTGAGTCTACCTTTCAATTATAAAGTAAATCTCAACGTGAACCATCAGATTCAGAAGCTTGAAACTCCCATAAAAAAAATATTGAAAACCCCATTAGTTTCCCCCCATGCTGACTGCAGGAATTTTCACCAGAGCTGTTGCCAGATAATTTAATGTTCATTTCTCTACCATAAGCCGCCTCCAATGTCATTTTAGAGAATTTGGCAGTACGTCCAACCGGCCTCACAACCGCAGACCACGTGTAACCACGCCAGCCCAGGACCTCTACATCCGGCTTCTTTACCTGCGGGATCGTCTGAGACCAGCCAGCCGGACAGCTGATGAAACTGAGGAGTATTTCTGTCTGTAATAAAGCCCTTTTGTGGGGAAAAACGTATTCTGATTGACTGGGCCTGGCTCTCCAGTGGGTGGGCCTGGCTCCCAAATGGGTGGGCCTATGCCCTCCTAAGCCCACCCATGGTTGCGCCCCTGCCCAGTCATGTGAAATCCATTGATTAGTTCCTAATTTATTTATTTACCATGATTTGAAATTGTTGCATGTTGCGTTTACATTTTTGTTCAGTATAGTTAGTTTTGGTGCAAAGATAATAGTTTCAGTAAAGTTGTAGTTTTTCAAATGGGTTTGTTAATTATTTTATTTAAGTTTACTAAATTGTTTCATGATTAGTTTTCGTTTTAGTTTCACTTTCACACACAGTTCTTAGTATAACCTTAGCAGATACCTTATTGCCTAATATTTTGCAGGCTATTGGGGTGGAGATTCAAAAGCATTGTCTTATAGTTGGCTGATAGCTAAATGGGCTCTCGAGTGGCTTAGCGGTCTAAGGCACTGCATCTCAGTGCTTGAGGCGTCACTACAGACCCCCTGGTTCGATTCATTACATTACATTTACATTTACGTCATTTAGCAGACGCTCTTATCCAGAGCGACTTACAGGAGCAATTAGATTCCAGGCTTAATCACAATTGGCCAGGTGTCGTCCGGTTTTGGCCCAGTGTCGACATAAGGCCGTCATTGTAAATAAGAATTTGTTCTTAACTGACTTGCCTAGTTAAAAATAAGTAAAGGTTACATTCCTAACCGCTAGCAGCAAAGAGACTTGGATCAGTCATTCATTGCATTCAGTGAGATGGAAAAACGTGCATGTCCAGACATCGACCAGTGCGCCAGAAAAACGCCCACCTCTGTCATTATTTTTATATTCACATATTCACCCCCTCCTTATCTAGCTACATTCCTGGATCCCCAATCCTGGATCGGATGCCAAATACACACACACACCAATCAATAAATACATGTCCAGTATCGCAATCCATGCATCAACAAGTTTCCGTACCCGAATCTTCCATATCCCTTTCATAGGCTAGGCTACTGGCCAAATAACATGTTTTGTCAAGCAACCAGTAGGCAAAATAACCGGTTAATAATTGCGAAGCAGAATCCAGCAGAATGCACTAGCCTGTCCAGACGTTACACTAGAGGAAATACTTACATAAAGTTCCAATAAAAGGGTGCATTCATGGTGCAACTGATCAGCAACAGCAGCTGCCCTCGCAGTTCGGGACTGTTCCGAACCAGCCCCTCTTCTTGTCCGTGTCCCTGCCATATTCAGTAGAGAAGCAACAGACAGGCACCGGATAGCAATAACGTTTTTTTTTTCCTTCTTCACCTTCCCTTATGTCTATAGGTTTTCCTGTTTCATATTCCTAAAAGTTGGACAGCCAACAAGAAGCGCGTCTCCGCCCTTTCTCACGCTTTAACCAAGCCAGTTAATTCATTACCTTTCTGTATACGAATTCCTTCCCTTATTTCCACAACTTGACCCGTTGTGTTACTATGTTACAGTATTAAATATCCTTGTCTAGTGCCACTCCTCCCCTTCCTCCGGGAGGCTTATGTCAGGCAGGCATGTGGAATTTAACGGGATGACTAAAGAGGAGGCGTGGGAATGGGAGGAGTCGCAAGTTGGTAAACTATTATTTATTCATGAGGAGCTTAAAAGAATTGGCCTGACAGAATGAGCATTCAATTCACCAGGACTAGTGACCCGTTGACTTGCTAGTCGGAACTAGGAAACTCGGTAATGTCAGACTTGCTACTTGGTTGAAGTTTTACACGTGCCGCGTTCAACTAGTTAGCAAGTCTGAAACTTCCGAGTTCCGACTAGCACACGAATGCGACATAGGCTATATCAGGGGACATTCCGTCAAAGTTTACTGCCTAAATTAATAACTCAGCTGATTTGATGATCAAGTAAAGGTTTGTTATTAGGTTATTGCTTGTCAATAGCCGGGAAGGTGGGTTTATAACCATAACATAGGGCCACATGGCTCGCAAGATTTATCATAGGCTAATATGCATAGGCCTAGAAAATAACATTTGTAAACGGTTGAGTGCGCGTTTTTCTTTACCATTTCCCGGAACGTTCTATACTGCTGCCCGGACGGGATTAGTAACATTTCTATTTTAGTCATTTAGCAGACGCTCTTATCCAGAGCGATGTACAGTTAGTGAGTGCATACATTTTCATACAGCCCCCCCCCCGTGGGAAATGAACCCACAACCCTGGCGTTGCAAGCGCAATGCTCTACCAACTGAGCTACAGGGGACTACATTGTTTTAGATCGTGGGGGATAGAGGAATAACGAGGGCTCAAAGTCTGTAAACATCTAGAATGCGTTCGCATTAATAGCCTACAGCGAGAAACAAACCAATAATTTTGAAATGATAGGCGATAAATAGTTTTTAATAATGTAACAGCTGATTATGTAATTTTGGTAGGCCCAGTGTGAAATCGACTTTATAGTGTCTTGAAGCCTTGAGTGTGAAGGATAACACCTTTAGAGGTGCTATTTCTTTGTAATTATAAAGCTAAAATCACGCTAAACCAGTTCAATGTGAACTTTAAAGGATTAAATGTATTAACTAAAATGTCAGACGTTTTATTCCTTACAAAATGCCAGATGTGTCTAGACTCGCATCATTCAGGAATGTTCCAAAGTGCAATACCACTCCGATACTCGGGGTGACATAGTGTCCAATTCACAAACAGTGAAGCCATTTTAGTTTATACGGACGCGTTCCTTATTAGTGTTACGGCAGCAGCATTAGTATCCCACCAGCAACATTAAGACATCCGGTGTTCCGCTTTTGCCTTCAAAATCAAAGTCTGCAGCAATACACTGCATTGGACTGTCTACTACCTGACTCAGCTTAAGGGGGTGGAAAATACTTAATAGGGTGAGTTTGAACAAAAAGCTATGTCATAAGAAGTGTTGCTGGACTTTTACTGTGGTCAAACAGCTAAAATGGGGTGCCTGGACACTATACGGTTCAGATATAGCACTGTGACATAGGATGCATACAGTGTATTGTCATACCAAAATAACTTAGAATGTAAAAGACAAATACCTTACAATCTTCCTTCTGGTGGACACTTTAGAAAAAATACAACATACAATATGTTTATTCAAAAAGTCAAGAGAGATGCAAGTACATTTGGTCCAAAAAAGTATACTTTATTCATAAATGATCACAATGACATGAATTAATCAAATTGATCATCAACAATTACACATACGTTTCAAATTAGTTTGAAGTTGTATTGTCATGTGCACAAGTACAGTGAAATGCTGACTTGCTAGCTCTTTCCCAACAATGCAGTATTCAATATCAAATAGCATAAAGTCAAAAAAATAATCAAACACACGAGAAATAAGGAAAACAGGAGAAAGTAAGCTACCAGTCAGTACCAGGGACACTGGAGTGGTTAAGGTAGATATGTACATGTAGGCAGGGGTAAGGAGAAAGTGACTGGTAGCAGGATAAATAATAATAATAATAATAATAATAATAATAATAATAGTAAATCAATATAGCAGCATAAAGGCACCCTCATACTAGGTTCGGTTTGCTCCTACCAGAACCTGGCTAGGCGAAGCGAAAGTCTGTGCCTCGCATACTCCCTTAAAAAGACATTTGCTTGTAAAACGAGACAAAAATTGCAATATTACGGTTTGTACCTCTTGAGATGCCGTAGCAATAACATAGCCAAAACACTTCCTCAAAATAGTCCTAATCAATCAAAGATAAATACAGGATTTAGTGGTGGGTGGGTGTGCTGGTGTGTGCGTGCGTGGTGATGAGTGTGCATGTCTATGTGAGTGTATGTGTGTTGGTGTCAGTGTGTGTGTGTGTGTGTGTGCAGGAGTGTCAGTACGGGCATGTGTGAGTGTGTGGGTAGAGACCCATGAGTGGCATACAGTGCAGCTAGACTGTGGGTGAGGGTGGGCCGCTATTGCCTAGCTGTTCAAAAGTATCAGTGCCTGGAGGCACCATTATACTCAATGAACCTGATATACACATTCTTATATAACATTAATGCAATAATATTTGTTCTGATAATTCATACAAAATCTCATGTTGTTGTGAATTAATTCATTGCTGTTATCTCCAAATAGGACTGCTTAAGCGAACAAACACACATAGGGACCACAACTACTTCCATGTACTCCTCTCTTCACCATACTGAGCAGCACCTAAACCCTTAACCCACCTCTGTCTTTATTCATGTTTTGTTTAGTCTGATGTTTTGTTTTGACTCCTATTTTGTTGTTTTTCTTGTTCATTTCTATTATTGTAAAGTGAAATTGGGTCCTTGAAAAGCGCTAAGTCCCATGTACAGTATTATTATTATTATTATTATTATTATTATTATTATTATAATTATCATCTACCTGAGTTTTGAAATTCCGGCAATGATTAGAAAATTCATATTTCAGAACAATGTCCACAACCTTTCCATGTAATGCCAAATAATGCAGAGACAGATATTGCTGTAGTGAGTTTTAGAATGCCCTCCAGTTCCTTCTCATATTGCTTCATGGAGTTCATTATTTTAACACTCAATGTTATACTATTCCGAGCACATACTTTCTTTTTCATGTTTATACTGTAGATATGGCCATCCAATGTGCTTTTAAATTCACAGGTATTATTACATTGTTTAAACGCCACCAATTGCGTGCAATTCTTGGTACCTTAGGCAGAACATCAATCCTCTCAGAACAGAAATTCTGTAACAGTTCGATTCCAGGCTGTATCACAACCGGCCGTGATTGGGAGTCCCATAGGGAGGCGCACAATTGGCCCAGCGTCGTACGGGTTTGGCCGGTGTAGGCCGTCATTGTAAATAAGAATTTGTTCTTAACTGACTTGCCTAGTTAAATAAAGGTAAAAAACAAAAAACAACAACAGTTGGCTAACAAAAGAACAAGAAGCATATCAACACAACATGATCCTCCAAATGAGATTTTACAAGATCAAGGTACACATTAATTTAGTGGTGGGTGGGTGTGTGCGTGGTGATGAGTGTGTGTGTATGCATGTGTGTTGGTGTCAGTGCGTGTGTGTGTGTGTGCATGTGTGTGCAGAAGTGTCAGGGTAGGCGTGTATGAGTGTGTGGGTTGTGTGGGTAGCGACCCGTGAGTGGCATATAGTCAGTGCAGATAGACCGTGGGTGAGGGTGGGCAGCCATTGTCTAGTTGTTCAAAAGTCTCAGTGCTTGGGGATAGAAGCTGCCTCGGAGCCTATGGTCCGAGACCCAATGCTCCGGTACCAACTATAAGATCCATTAATCAGTCCAAAACCCAAGTCCAAGAGGCAAACGTTTTGATTGATTGCAACTAAGGTGGGTTTAAGAAAATCATTGGAAGGCAATACATATTTGGGGTAATATAAACCTATAGCAATATGATTTTACTAGGATACTGCCTCACTTTTAATAATAGTTTTCACTCTATAAGCCAATAGGTAATGTATAGGCCTATAGTGTATTGCATTGGGACCAATGGAGTGGGTGCAGTAGAAAGTGTTGCTGGGAATATAGACCTCAGTCCCCCATGAAATAACACCATATATATATTCTACAGATCCTAGTGAGTAATCCCAACCCCACTTTTACTCTGGCACCTAGAATCGTTTTCTCTCTATAAACCAATATGTATTTCAGATACAGTGTTTCATTGTGGGCATTTATTTGACCTTGGAACATGTTTTAAAAACCAAATGTAATGCAAATATCACTTAGTTATAAACACATTAATTATTGTTAATGTTTAGACAATTATTTTTCATTTATCATGAATAAAAACAGGTTAGTACGTTGGGAACTTTTATTTTGAAGATTTTTGAAATTCCGTGACCCGGACGTACTTTTTTTGTGTTGCTGACGAGATGCTGATACTTTCATTTGGATTAGCAAGTAGTAGCTACACCAACAACAAAAATACAGCATTTCACAAATGTATTGAGCAACAAACATCTTCATACGGATTATAACTACTAGTTCAATCAAACATAAGACGCAGACCGCAATTTGTGACTGGATGAAAGCGAAAGAAGGACGAAGAGAGGGGAAAAATATAGCTACTAGCTAGCTAACGTTAGCCTGCTAACGTAAAGGCTAGCTGCTAGCTGACATGAATTCTCTCGTCGGCTATGGCGTGTCCTCTGATTCTGACAGTGATGGGGAGGATGGAAACAACAGGAAGTAAGATACAATTCAGGAATACAATTTAGCAAACATTTGTCTTTGGGAAGATTCATTGAAAATATAGACGTGTGTTCAATAGAGCTCGCCAGTTTGTAGTCCTAAAACCAGGAAATTAGTTACCTCTGGTTCGTTCAGCCATTCCTATAGGGGAAATAAAAGGGTTTGGGTGATCAATGCCGAAAATAAGGTCTGAGGTTAACACAGGCTTAGGAGATCTTATACGTTTTGTACTATGATATAATATCAGTCCGTTTTATTTTATTTAACCTTTATTTTATCATACTGAGACCAATATCTATTTTACAGATGAGCCCTAAATTACAGAAAATACACACAACAATATATAAATACAAAATGCAAGAAGAAAGAAAAACACAGTAATAAAACAAACGCATTCATTAGTAATAAGGTCCTCAATCAGTTCTCTGAATTGCCCTAGAGGCACCAAAACATCAAATTTAAGAACATTTTGAAGATTGTTCCACAAATAAGATGCAAGAAAGGTAAATCCGTTTTTAGTTAACTCAGTAGAGACCAAAGGAATTTCCAGAGTTAGCCATCCCTGAGACCAGGTGTGGTTAACTGGTATGTCTAAAGTTTAGTAAAGATGATGGGTACAGTGGGACTTTTTGTAAAAGGGCTTTATAAATGAAAACATAGCAATGTATCAACCTACATGACATAAAAGAGGGCCAATCAACTTTCTGGTAGAGAATGCAGTGATGAGAACTAAAATTGTCGCCCATAATAAAGCGCAGTGCGCTATGATAAACAGCTTTAATGAAGTTGTGGCAGCTGTGTTCCTATAGATGATGTCGCCATAGTCTAGGACCGATAGGAACATCGACTGAATAATCCGTTTTCTACTACTTAGCGAGAGGCAGGACCTATTTCTATAGAAGAATCCCATATTTATTCTCAGCTTCTTAACTAACTCGTCAATATGCTTTTTAATAGACAGCTTTTATCCAGATGCACAGAGATTTGCTAGGCAGGGACACCATCCAAAGTACATATGCTTAAATCATCAGAGTTATTTTTATGCGCTCTAGAGAACAACATATACTTCGTTTTACCTGCATTCAAAACTAATTTCAGGTCAATTACGTTTTTCTGTAATACAATGAAGGCAGACTGTAGTTCAAATATAGCCTGGTCAACAGCATACGCAACAGTATCATTGGCATACAAGTGCAGGTTTACGTTTTTTACAGATAAGTCGATATTGTTAATGTAAACAGTAAAAGACACAGGACCCAGAATCGACCACTGCGGGACACCTTTCGTAATATCCAGGAAACCTGATTTAACACCATAAGTTAACACATTGAGTTCTATCTGTCAAGTAATTTTAAACCAGTTACATGCAGCCTGGTCTAGGCCAATTGAGGAAAGCCTCTGAATTAGCAGTGAGTGATCAACCGTATCGAAAGCCTTTGACAGGTCAATGAAGAGGGCAGCACAAGGTTGCCTTTTATCCATACAGTTAACCACTAAAATATTTGAATCCTTTATTAATTCTCAGCTAAGGTCTTTCTTGTCTTTAAAATGTATTCTAAATATACATCAGTCAGGTTTTAAACCAGGTCTTAGCACTATCTCTGCTGCATCCCTTGTTATAAATTATGCTAGGCCAGAAAGTTTAGAAATAAGCCGATAATCATTTAGGTCACAAGGATCACCACCTTTGAAGGGTACATGGGCCGCCTTCCAAACCTTGAGGATAGTACCAGATATAATTGTCAGGTAAAAAATATGGGTTAATGATTCAGCAATCGGGGGCAGAGAGCTGCAGCAAAAATGGATCAAGCAAATCAGCCCCAGTGGATTTTTTTTGTTTTTACATGAATCTTAAGCAAGGCATTTAGCACATCGCAGATGGTAAATTGTTGAAATGAAAACAAAATATTCACTAGAAGTTGACGGGTTAACCGTTGAGTCAGCTAGAGGCTGGCAGAGGGAAGAGCAGTCGATTGACTGACCAGGGTCAATTAAACCACAGTTTCTCTCAAACAAAAAGCCTACCGAGATAAAATCATAATTAAAAGCATCACTTATCCCCTTCTTCTCAGTTATGATGCCAGAGTCAGACAGAACTTGCTTAGTCAGGGAAGAAGAGGAATTTGTACGCTTCAGTGCAATTACTGTTTTCCAAAAATTAGAATGATCACCAGTGGAGTCAGAAATAGAGCTTAAAAAGTAGCTTAATTTAGCTTTCTTAATCAAGATAGTACATCTGTTTCTCAATTCTGAAAGATTTAAAGTCCACTACAGAGACAGTTTTCCTTGCTTTAGCCCAGGCCTGATTTCTCATCTGAATGAGCTAAGATAGATCTAACCCTTGGCTTTCTTTTGAGCTATCTTTGACTCTGAATTGTTTAAAAGTGTGTGTTTATCTGCCAGAGGAATACATATGGAGGATACATTTTCTAGAGCCAATTCCAAATCAGGAATACAGGAGGAGGTGGCTAAATCAGAGTAGAACATGTCATGTAAAAACCTTTAAGGAGAGAACTTTTAAAAAGTTATCTTAATTAAACAAGGATGAGTGTTTTGCTGTTTCGTATCTCTAATACATACTATGGGACAATGATCTTATGCAAGTACTCCATTAGACAAATATTAGTTAACATGACCTTTATGATTGTTTTGATTCCCGTGTAGAGCTCAGTTGGTAGAGCATGGCGCTTGCAACGCCAGGGTTGTGGGTTCGATTCCAACGGGGGCCAGTATGAAAATGTATGCACTCACTAACTGTAAGTCGCTCTGGATAAGAGCGTCTGCTAAATGACTAAAATGTAAATAAGAACATAAGTGCTTCAAAATGCACAAAAAGTGACTTTAGCTCATTATCTCATATGACAAAACGTATAAGATCTCCTAAGCCTGTGTTTACCACAGACCTTATTTTCAGCATTTAGCCAAAACCCCTCCAAAAACTCCATTCATTTTCCCATAGGCTTTGTCCAATGAACCATGAGTTGGTGCCTACAAAAAGATGCCATTACTATTGTTCTTTATAGAGAGGACTGTTGTGGTTGTTCTTGCTACCCAAACCAGATATGATTTCCACTTCCTGTCAAATTAAATGTTTCCAGATTGAGAAGTCCTTGAAATATTTTTTGGGATAACACTAAAGCTAGTATACCAGTCCATTTATACTTGTTGTTTCTTTGTAGGACTGAGAGCGTGGTGGATGGAGCGACCGAGAAGAAGGGCCGCAATTTCCTCCTAGAGTCCGCTTCAACCTCCAGTGAGTCGGACTGCGACTCCAACCCAGAGGAAGACCCTGTATCTCAACTACAACCCAAACGCCCTCCTCCTGCATGTATGGCACCCCCCTCTGAGTCCCGGACCCCTCTCCTCCCCGCACCCCCTAGCTCCCTCTCCCATAAACTCCCCCCTCCCCCCCTCGGGGCCTCGTCCAAGAGTGGCGTATTCGCCAACCCCTTCAAGGCGCAAGCCGACCAGAAGCTCAACGTCTTGCAGAAGCACGTCCCTCTCACTCTGCAGGCCCGGCCCTCCCAGATAGGGGGCAAGAGGATGTGCGTGGCGTACAGGAAGGATGGACGCTGCAGGTTCGGGATCAAATGCAAGTTTGCCCACGACAGCGACCTCCAGAGCTCCATCATTCCCAATGACTATGACCCCCCTGTGGGTGATGCTCCCGGATCGGACCAAGCTGACCCCAACGCGGGGGGCTCTTCATACACGGGTCGCCAGAACTTTCACCACAACCAGAGAGGAGACCCTGAAGAGGAGGAGGGTCAGCAGTCTAGGAAGAGGAGAGTAGGGCTGAGTAACACCCTAGTGCCTCCTAAAAGGGCAATGAAGAATTATGCAATGCAGAGGAAGAGAGAACAGGTCAATTTAAACTGAGCGACTTGCACAGGGATACTGTCAGCAGCAATACACTGTGTGTGTGTGTGTGTGTGTACCCTCACATTGTTTTAGTGTGTGTGGCAGAGAAAATGGACCCTTATTCTGAACTCATTTACTCCCCCTCTTGGATATAAAATATGCTTTAAACTTCTCCCTACCCATGCTTACATCAATATAATTGAGTGAGCAAGTGTAAACCTCTGTTAGAAGAGAAGATAATCAGACCACAGCCAGAGAGTATTCTATATACCTGTTGTCAGTATGCAAGATAGGATAACTATAGCACACTTCCAAACCCCTGTTCAGTCCAGTACATATACTTCAGATTGGTAGTTTGTACATGATAAGTGTTTGTAGTTTCATTGAAAACATATTCCTTTATAAACTACAAGTTATCATGGTTAAATAAATACTTTAAATGTTTGTAACTTCTTCTTCTTAAGTGTTTGTGATCACTTCTAATGATAAAAGGGCATAGGAACTGGACATACAAATACAGTTATGGATAGAGTTTAGGAAAATATTTAGTTATTGATTAAGTTGGATTTAAATGCTTTTGCTTGATTAGAGAAAGATTGAAAGAAGAGGCAGCACAGGGTTACTATTTTGGATCAATTGCAACACACTTTGGCATCAGTCACAACGTAAGCACACACACTTAGTTCCTGCTTTTTGGGATGGATCTATTGGAGCCCCACACGGCGGTGAATGATGCTTCTCCTTCGGAGTCCCAGAAACTGCTAGCTGTCCCCCGCAATGAAAGCCAATATCGAACGGAACAGACAGGATGCTCTGATGCTGAGGCAAGCCCGATTGGCCTGCAGACAATTGGCAGGAGAGGGGGGTGGCACCTCGGCTAAAGTCGCCAAAACAATCGACTCTGGAGAAGGGTTCTTCATTGATGAAGAAGAGGAGGGACAGGAGGAGCAACGGGCAAATAAAGTGGTGCATCAACCAGGTATATACATTTATAACTAATCAAACATTGCACGAGGCAGCAGGGTCATATCTGTTGCGTTATGTCAACCTCTATCAGAGGTAATCTATCTAGCAACTATACTGTCTTATCTGTCAAAGATGTCAGATGTGTAACAGAAAGATCCATTGGTTGTGGATTCATGCCATAGTAATGCCAGTGGCTAAATGGAGTCAGTTTCTTTCTATAGCCTAGCTACCTGAAACAATGGCCATGATCAATTATTTACGGCACAGTGACAACCAACCACTATCTGAATGACTGCTGTACGTAGCTCTGTTTTTTTCAATTTAAATTGCTTTATTGGCATGATGTAACAATGTAAATATTGCCAAAGCGTACTTTGGAAATGAAATGATTTATTAACCATATCAATAACAACATAGAAAATCATCAAGATTGTCACAAAAAAACAACAACAATCAAGGGTGTTTTTTACTGACTATGGCACCTTGGCTGACTGACTCCTAGCACTCTGCATTGCTTGTAAATTGCTCTTGATAAGAGCGTCTGCTAAATGACTAACATATCAAATGTAAATGTACTAGTAGTGTAGACAGTGTTAAGTCAGTAACACTTTAATTTTTTTGTGAACAATTTTTAATAAACATGAATTAAGTAATGGGATTGACAGACAATAGGCTTTACGGACAACAGAACAACTGTGTTCTGATCCTCACTCAGACACACTGCCACTCAAATAAATAAGTCACCTAATATAGATCAAACCTAGCTCCTCCAGTGGATTGTGGAAAGTGGGTGATGCAGTTGTATTTATTTATTGACTTAAAAGAACAACCTGCACACTGAGCTTGCCAGTATCACTTATGTTTATTCAGCCTACTGCACATATTGAAACTGTATTGGATTGTTATTTACTCTGTTGTGACCAGAGCTGTGTTGTGCAGTGAGGAGCAGCATGTGGACAAAGGACACCAGTGCTCACCAGTACGAGTACGACCCTAGAGGATGAAGAGGAGGATCTCTACAGGAAGGTCTGTAACACCTGTGGACACGAACTGCCCTATGAGAAGATGACATACCCAAATCTAACTGCCTGTAGCTCAGGACCCGAAGCAAGGATATGCATATTCTTGATATCATTTGAAAGGAAACACTTTGAAGTTTGTGGAAATGTGAAATTAATGTAGGAGAATATAACACATAAGATCTGGTAAAAGATAATACAAACAAAAAAACATGTTTTTTTTGTTTGTTTTTTGCATCATCTTTGAAATGCAAGAGAAAGGCCAGACAGTGATGTAGGATTCTAGATGTAATGTATTTGTTGTCCACCAGATAGCAGCAGTGTGTGTGCAAAGTTTGAGACTGATCCAGTGAAGAATTACATAACTACACAATATTTTGTATCAAGTCTGCCAGGAGTTTTCCCAAATGTGCCAAATTTGTTTTCAAGTACATAACTATAGAGAACATACAAAAATGCTATGGTAATACATTTTAGTTTGCACACTCCCAGGAATGTCATACATGATGAATCATTAGCTTCCCTACAGAAAATACACTAATCTAGATGGCCGGGCAGGGTGGGTGTGGAGCCAGAGGTCAAACTGTAGAACCCAGTTCCTACATTTTAATATAAAAAATGATTTCTCAAACAAAACTACACTACATTTTATCTCTGGGACGCTCAGGATGACAAATCAGAGCAAGATTACTGAATGTAAGTACATTATTTACCTTCAGAGGTGAATGTACTAAACCAGTTGCCGTGTTAAAAGTGTTTTGTTGTTGTGCACTATCCTCAAACAACAGCATGGTATTTTTTTTTTTAGCTGTAATAGCTACTGTAAATTGGACACTGCAGTTAGATTAACAAGAATTTAAGCTTTCTGACCATATAAGACATGTCTATGTCCCGGAAAGTTGGCTGTTGTTTAGAACACCATTCTAGTCACATATCGCATATTGAGCAGCAACCGTCCCGTATAAGGGACACCGATCCTGTAGAGGTTGAACCTTATCCCGGGGGCCCACAGGGTGAGTTATTTTTGTGGACCACTGGTAGACGGGTGACACTTAAACTGACATTCAAATAACTTACTTTGTACTTGACACAATTCCTTTAAGCTGAAGCGAGGCAGGTCTTCCTGAAATCTTATACATGCCTCAACACATGCGATACACAATGTGGCCACAAGAGGGCAGACATACATTAACATTTCTCTATTACAATATGTTGTGCTGCTCAGAAGGTAGGGATACCTGTTAATAATTTGCCATTTATATTGACCATTTGTAATATGTAGAAGGATCTATGTCTGAAATAAATATCTTTCCATGATGTGATTATAAAAATTATAAAAAATAACTTTAATATTTAGTTGGATTAATGTGGATGGATAAGGCCAGGATTCAATCTGGAGTGGACCGTGGAAGATCCGCGTTGTAGCGCGGTTTACATTAGTCATTTCCGATTGAGCCGACATATGCAGCGTTTACGTTGAATGTGATTTCCGTGACCTCTAACATTGCCATTATGGGCGCATTCCTCTGCCCAGGCTTTGCTGACGCATGCCCAATCTTTCAATACCTGGATAGGTATTTTAAGTATCAGTTTACCACAGCATTATGTTAAAGCAATCTGGTGCCCGACGGCACAGTCGATGGCTGAGGGTTAAAGCAGGTGTCAACCTAACTGCATGTTCCTGCAACGTGGGTTCGAATCCCGCTCTACGGGCTCGATTTAAATCAGATCAAGCGATAGCCAACACCCGTATAGCTGATGTTTTGGCAGTGTTGGAGGTGTAACTGCGTTAGAGCTGTCAAATCAGTGAGCAGCTGCTCGTGGGGGCATTGTCACAAAGACACACCCATCCCACTGCGTTAGATGTTCAGAATTAGAAAGTGTAGGCTATATAGAAATAATTACACTTAGATAGAAATCCTAATTTCGTTTAATGATTTTCAATCAACCTAATCGAGGTTTAGGCTAGATTAGGCTACATCTCACGTTCCAGTGTTCGAACTTGTAAACAAGGCTGCATGGGATTTCTCTCGATGGGACTCCGTGCAGCCAATGGCAACTTTAGGTATAATGCCGGGAGCAGCTTGTGGATTGGACAGCTCTAACTCAGATCCACCTCCAAAACCACCGCTATGCGGGTGTCGGCTAGCGCAGATCTGATAGAATCTAGGCCCTAATGTTGGAAACAAAACATGCTGTCAATGTTTTGCTTCCAAGGTAGCTTATATAGAACCGTCTGCTTTAGGGTTTTCTTTGTTTGCCATGGAAAATTAAGGATTGTAGTATTGTGATACTGGTATCATGAGAATCAGAGGAGGCTGGTGGGGGGAGGGGCTCATTGTAATGGCTGGAAGGGTATTAATGGAACGGAATCAAACACACCAAACACATGGAAACAACGCGCTTGACTCCGTTCCATTAATTCCATTCCAGCCATTACAATGAGCCGGTCCTCCTATAGCTCCTTCCACCAGCCTCCTCTGACGAGAACAATAATCATCTTAACACACACAAACACAGAAGGCCAGTTGATGGGTATAGATGGCTACATCACTTTATGTACAAAGGCAACAACTTACACACAACTGCCCTGATGTGGGTAGATCTAAAAAGCTACCAAAAGTTACTATAAATACATATTTCTGTGATTCTATATATTTCAAATGGTGCCACAATACATTAGGAGAGGGACATAGTTAGGCCTCTCCCTTTATTACTGTCTTTCCCAATCTTTCCCAGTTTCCCCTAACCTCGAAATCAAGACTGAATCATGTTATGTTGTTTCACTTTGCTAATTAGTGTTAGTTATGTGAAACAGAGCGGAATTCAGTAAACATTTCCAGGCTAGTCCCCCCCACCCACCCACCCACCCATACCCACTATTCTAGATAAGTACATGTTGCATGTGCACTTCTGTGGCATCGGTCAAGACATCCCCCTCTTCCACTCCGTCCCCCTCTCCGCCCCCTTCCCAAACTACCTCTCCCTCCCCTACAGTCTCACACTGTTGAAGGGTGTTAGCGGAAGGAGAGGAGGCAGAGAGAACGGAATCGTCCAGAGAGTAGCTTTCGCTACAACCCACAGTGGTTGGGTCCTGAAGCTGAATGTCCTGAGTTTGGGGCAGAGGTTGAAGTTGGGGTTGGACCTGGGCCATGAGAGGGAGGTTGGTGGTAGAAATATGGGAGCTACTCTGGAGGGTTTGGAGTTGCTGGGGGGTGGCTAACAGGGGGATCTGCTGGAGATGGGTCTGCGACCCGTCGACGGTCTGGAAGGTCATGTGGAGAATCTGCGGCTGCTGATTCTGCTGCTGCTGATAAGACTGCAGGGTCATTTGCTGGAGCTGGTGGGGCTGATGCTGCTGGGGCACCACCGAGCCAGAATGAAGGGCCAGTTGCTGGATCTGGGCCTGTTGCTGCTGCGACTGCTGCTGCGGGGAAGCGGCCGCCACCTGCTGAACAA